TTTTGGCGTTTTTTCTCCCCCCCTCTCCCCACGGGCCCCCCCCCCCCCCCCCCCCCCTCAACACACACACCCTTTTTTCAAATGGAGGATAATTTGACTTTGGTCAATTCTGACCTGACCTCCTGGTCTACCTGTGCCACCTGTAAAACCGCACCCATTTCTTATGTACAGTCTATTCGCACCAGTGTGAGCAGCTGAAGTTGACCTCGTTCAGTCAGAGCCTTTACAAACAAGTCTGTGGGATTTTCATGTCTGATGTAAATCCTGCAGAAATGAGAACCAAATCTGATCCTGAGGCCCGTCGGCTTTTTCCTGCGTTTACAAACGTACGGCGCCACCGTCGACCACCGACAGAACAGGACGACTGCAGCAGTGACACCAGATTCCATTTCCAGACCTTCAAAAATACAGGAGAGAGTTTCTTTGTCTTTGAAGAATATTAAAAAGGTGGATGAAAAACCCCACCTGAAGGATTTGTCTGGACATGCGTGATGCCTCTCTCTCTGCTGCGCTTTTGTCTTGGCTCTTTACGGAATGTTTCTATCTTTCCAGGCACAGGTTGCACAACTGAATGAAGAGGTAAACGTCTGCCTGCTGAGTCGCCATTGAGCTTGAACCACACGCGCACACACAGAACAGAACAGAACAAGAGCGGAGGCTGTTAAAGTCAGGCTCAGGACAGGACGTCCATTTCCAAGCCTCATATACATTTACAGCAGCAGAAGCTAAATGTGACGGACGAGCGTTTCCTCTGAGCTGCTGCTGTAACGACCTCTGATTCAACTCTGTCTGTTCAGATGTGACCAATGGCTGCTGCGACAACTTTGACTTTTTCTTTTTAATGGAGCCGCAAACAAAGGGCAAAGCTGATCCAGAGCTAAGAGGCAGACTTGAAGAGGCTGCTAGTCAACATGCTTACATTTGCATGTTCATTAGTCATTCAAAGGGCAAAGCTGAGGGCACGGCTCCAAAAGGTCTAATGAGTTTGAGGACAAGCGCTTACAGAAGGTCAGCACAGAAGATACGCTGCAAAATAAACCTGCTAGTCCTCAGTCAAAGTGAGAAACGCTCAGTGATATCAACACACAAACCATCAGTAACAGAGGATGAGACGAGCCCTGAACACAGGAGTTCAGACCAAAACGCACTCAGAAACGCAAAGAATATGTTTGGTCAACCTTCCCAAAGTTTACATTTTGACCATTTCACACTGGAAGGAAAAAACAAGAGAGTAAAAAATGTTTTAAAAAATTGTAACATAACTTGTAACAAACTGTTGTAAAAGTTACAAAACGCTGCCATGATACACGTTAGGAAAAAATGTACCAAAATAAACCAACTTTAAAAATGCTATGCTATAAAAACTACTAACCATTAAGTGCTAAGCTAAAAAAAGACACACACACACACACACACACACACACACACAGACAGACAGACAGACGGTGTGCAGGTGTATGTTTCTTGGCTCTGCTCCGCTCTGGTTATTGACTATAATTAACCTGATAATCACCTCTCATTCACAACAAACATGTCCTCAGGACAGTCTGCCTGCTTTTACAGTGTGAGTCATGTTTTGTTGTCAAAAGACACAAGTGACAGCACACACGCACGCACGCACGCACACACACACACAGTGTCATGTCTGTGTTGGACTTGCCTTCCTGTCCTGCACAGACTGGCAGCTCTGGGGTTAAAGTAACACGAGCAGAAACATTTGATCAAACCAACTCTTATTACACACACACAAACTGCTGGGAATTTGTTTCCACATTAAAAGACATATTTTCACATGTGGCGACTTGAACATGAGCTGATCCTGATCCTCTGACAGAAATGACAAAAAAACTCTCACAACACAAATCATGAAATGAGAACAATGTGTTGCTAAGGATGAGTAGAAGCATCTCCAACCAGGCAGAGGTATGGAATATATCCAATATCAAACGTGTGAAATGGGACCAAAAAAATCTAGGATCAACAATGAGATGAAAACATTTAGAGACTTAAAAAGGTTGGACAGACACAGAGACGACGGAGACAGATCTAAACGATCCCTCAACATCAACTGAATCTGGCTCCATCTCCTCGGTCAAACCTTGACAGGACTGGGTTTCAGTAAATGGATGAAAATGTAAATATTCAATACTACAGTATGAAACTAAGATAGCTAAGAAATGTCTAGAAATCCACAGAGAAACAATAGCCAAGAGTTCAGCTAAACGTTATTTCAACGGGCTAAAAAAAAAAAGCAGCTATATTTGCTAAAAACAAAAAGCAGAAATATCCTAAATCTTAAAAGAAATGCTAAAAATCATGGTTTGTTGATCGTTGGGCAAAACAGGCAAAGTTTAATTTGGCTGATTTCAGTTGATATAAAAATGAGGATTCATTTATTTATGAGAAAAATAAAAATCCTCTTGATTGACCTTTGACCTTGTTATGTCTTCTGTCAAAGCCTCAGACTGAGGTCAGTGTGAAGATTCTGCATCTGTGCGATGAATCATCAGCCTGACAAAACAACATAAAGACTGCTGGTCAGAGCAGGGCAGACGGAGGTAGAGTTACCTCCACATGGGCCAGAGCTGGCTGTCCTCAGCAGATCTATTACACACACGTCATGTGATCAGTGCAAACACAAGGATGAGGACCTAAGACAAGACTTAACGACGCTGGAAAAACTGAATGGTATGCGGCCAACATCATTAGCTACACCTGCTAAATTGTTTGTTAAGGCAAATATCCCATCAACCAATCACAGGCCAGCAACAGGCAACAGCTTTCTGTGAATGTTCCCACTGTGGATAAAAAAAAAAAAAAAAAAAGTTCCCCCGGTTGAAAAAAAAAAAAAAAAAAAATTTTCCCCATGGGGGTAAAAAAAAAAAAAAAAAAAATTTCCCCCTTGGGAAAAAAAAAAAAAAAAACAGGTGAATGATGAAACTCCAGGCACGGGCCCACTACTTTGGGAGACATTTTTTCTAAGTATTTCGACAGTGATTTTCATTGCAGCTCAGAGAAGAAAGTACAAAAAAAAAAAAAAATCTACTCCTCTGAGTCATTAGAACTCTGCTCTACTGCAGTAGACCAGCTCTAAACAACATTTTCTGATTTTACTCTGCTCTTGTAATAAGTGTTTTTGTCACATCTTAAAAACATTTCCTACACGTTTCTCACACTTGATATTAATCTCAGGCTCGTCTCGCAGCGTTTTACAGGAGGAGCCGTGACCCGGACATTTAGCCCCCGGGGGTCAATCAAGTACTTCTGATTCTGAACCTACTACGGCAGCAGAGGATTTCTTGGCAGACGTATTTGGAGCAGTAGAATTTATGGTCTCTCTGAAATCCTCATCAAAAAACATTCTTCTTCTTCCTCACAACACTGTCCACAGCTGCTGAGTCCGAGACAAGTCCAGCTGGGACTGGACACTCATTGGACTAACAATCAAAGAGGAGCACATTAAAGTCTGAGCACCAAACTATTAAAGGATTGCATTTCATTATTATTATTATTAGTGATTATTACTACAATTATTGTCGGTTTTTTTCTGCATATTTTAGTGTGTGTAGAGTGCTGTTTGTTGATGGTTAAAAAAATTCAAACTTCTGTGACTTCATAACAGAAACACTTCATCCTATCAGTGAGATCTTGGATTTAATTGGCTTCAGAACTGCAGAACTCTTTGGTAGGATTTCACCTACAGAACAGAGTACCTTCACTGAATGCCATGTACTATTAATACAGTTGAGCAGAATTTTTTTTAACGAAAATGATGGCTGGCAAATGCAAAGGTGATAAGTTGCGTTAAAATGTAACAATTCCCTGTGTCAGGATGAACAAGGTGACAGCAGAACAATAACATATTTCACTCCGCTGAATTTCACAAAAAAGTTCACGAGATGCAATACCAGTTCTACTTCGTTTGGTTGAATACTTCTGTTAAACACATGCAAAAATATGGAGAAATTCTAATTCAGCTCATGTTCTCATTATCTGTTCTGGTTGTTTATGGACCGACGCTGAGCTCTGACTGGATTTCTGCAGCTTTTAAGAAATAATCTGCGAGGATGTTGTGTCACCTGAGGAATTTGGAAAGTGTTTCCTCAGACGATGCATAGAAGACCAGGTCACTGAGTCTCACCTTAAACACCTCCGAGAAGAACCCAGCTCCGATCTTCTCACGGGTGAAGTCATCTATACGAGCAAGGCTGGACACGGCGCTGCGCAAGGCCCGGTACGAGGACGGCCTGATGCGGTTGGACCCGTGGACGCTGTGCATAGGAGGCTCCAACGCTCCCTCCTGCTCCGACTCAACCCTCGTCGTCTCCAACTCCATCTCTGGAGGAGGAGGAGGAGGAGGGTGAAGGACGTGGGATGTGTGCGTACTTTAAAATCCAGCCCGTTTACTGTTTACATTTCCCATGTCTGCTCCAAGGCCACAGAAAGAAGGCTGAATGTGGCAGCTGTGACTCAGGCTCTTCACTTCACTGCACTCCAGGATCCAGGTCAGAGCAGCTTCTCTAAGAGACGACGCAGCAGCTGCTGCAGCAGCGGTGCATCCTGCAGAGTCACTGAGGAGCAGTCTGGAGTCTCATGACGTGCAGCACCGAGGGAGGCAGAGTCTGCTGCTGCTGCTGCTGTCTTGGCAGCGGTGACTCTGTTTCTCTCTCTTCTTCTTCTTCTTCTTCTTCTTCTTCTCTCGCTCTGCTTCCTTTAACTAGTCAGCTCCTCCTGCAGCAGTGGGAAAGACCGACGCTCCCTCCTTTCTCCACCAATCCACTCACGGGTCTTCAGTGCGCACTCTGACGCTGCAGCCTATGACAGCAGAGGAGAGAGAGGAGTGAAAAATAAGAAAAAAAATGTAAATGTGATGACACCAGAACTGCTGCTCACACTGAGGATCTGCAGCTTCATGGCACGTACAGAAAGGAGCAGATATTAGGGAGAAAAAAAAGGTTGACTTTAAATCAACAAAGGGAATAAATAAATATGATCAATCTTAGTCAGAACACGGGAATAATGGGTCAAATTTTCCCAAAGGAAGTTTGAACACCTGGTCATCCAAGTTAGCAAATTATAGGCCATGATTATAGGCCATTTTTAACGTTCAACCTGCATCCTATGAATATCCTTACCTTACTAACATGAAACTAACACAAGCAGATGACAATCACTCCATTATAAAAACACTGTGTACCAAAGTTAACAGGTAGAAGACAAAAGTAAAAGTGAAGTAAAATGGCTATAAAAGTAAGAATATGATAAGGGTTGTTCTCCTGGAGCACCACGGCTGAGTCGTCCATGGACAAATGTCTCCAACGGTGGGTTGGTCTTCTTAAGTTCTTCCTCTGACCCTCGTCAGACTCCCAGTACTGTTTCCACTGCTCCACCGTCACAGCATCACACCGACTCAGTGCTTCACTGTGAGGACAGTGTTCTTTATGTTCCGTTCCTCTCCCGGTCTTCTCCCAACATCTCTGGTTCAGTCTCCTCAGTCCAGTCTGTGTCTCTTCTCCAGCTTCTTCTCAGCAGACTTCAGTCTGGTCCTCGGGAGTCTCGTCAAGGACAGATCTAATCCATCAGACATGTTTCTGATCCACAATCGGTAAAAAAAGTGACGATTCGAAAAGCATGATTCGAAAGAGTCACAGGTTCTGACCACAGACGTGAAACATTTTTGTCTTCAGTGTGAAAATAAAGGCTTCTTAAAAGCACGCCCTGATGAAAGGTCACTGCTGTGTTTGTTAAATACTAATACTGCTTTCTTTAGTGTCCTAAACTGTATGAACGGAGGCTGAGGCACACTCGGGGAGGGGGGGGGTCTCCTCTGAGACTGGAGCCCCCCTCCTCTTGATGATGATAATAATTATAACAGTCCTAATGAGGCTAAATCTGCGGGTCGTGCTCGTGGCTCCGTCTCCACAGTTGCCTGACTGCGTCTGTTGAATTATGGATGTCGAACTGGGCTCGTCTGTCACACAGCGGAGTCTCTAATATTCTCATACACACACACTCACACACTCCATACACACACGCTCAGCCTCACACACATGCACAGGTTCTATCACGTCCACGACCCGGAGCTCAGATACTGACGCAGAGTTCGTCCAAACGCGGACAACTCACCTGGCCTGGTCCAAACACAGCCGCGTCTACGCACACCGGTGTCCGCTGATGAACGAGGCCTGGATCCGCTTCTCCGGTTACTGTGGCTCTATTTTACGGTCCAAACACCAACTGCGTGTATGTGGGGGTGTGTGTGTGTGTGTGTGAAGGCTGCAGAAACACACACACTCCAGCCTGGTCTCAGTTTCCTCTTCTTGTGGAGCTGAAGCAGCAGAGTCCGTTCGTCACTTTGGCCGCACGAAGGAAGAGTAGCACCGACTGTGACTGCGTTTTATTAGGGGGCGTGGAGTAGAAGAAGGAGGAGGAGGAGGAGGAGGAGGAGGAGGCTGCACACACGTGATCCCCGCAAACACGCACCTGCGTGGGCGCGTTCTTGATTGTGGGCTTTATCTCCCCTCTGTGTCAGTTCACTATAACCAGTCAAAAGGATAAAAAATACAATCATACTTCATGCAAAATAATCATTTGTGCGACACAAGTTAAACTAATAAAACTCATGAAAGAGTTGTGTGGGAACGGAAGACACTGATTGGTGCTTGTTGAACAAACACCGGGGTCAAAGGTCATGCACATTCATCAGCTGGTCAGACTCAAGCTACGTTCACGTTCACAGAGGGAAGAGGAAAGGAGAACTGTTTTCAGGTGTGGTTGAGGCCTGGCACTGACATGGCCAACATCAGCAGCTTTATACTCTGTGGGGTGTTGGTCTCACTGGACCACTGTGTGACACACTGTGTCATCTAGTGAACTTTGGTACCACAACCACGTTTGACGTGTGCAGATTGTAGCATGACCGTTTACTGAATCGCAGGTTACCATGTACGTATGTCAATGTCCAGTGTCATCAGCGTAGGTCCTCCATGTGCACCACCAGAGTCACTGCTGTCTGTTCACTCAGCCACTTCTATTGGCTGATCAGTAGATGTAGGTCGTAGCAGCTGTCACATCATCATACGGTCTTTAATTAATTTTTTTAATTTCTGACCCCGCTAGAATTTTATCTCGGGTTATCTTTGGTCGCTAGATGCTGCGATGTAGGACCACCGTGGTTTTAGGGCCATGGTGGTCTTACGTCTGGGACAACCCAAAATCACACTGCAGTCAGTGACACTGGTTTGTGTGATTCACAGTAGGATTATGGACTTCGTGGTTCCTCCTGCTCCTCCACCCTCCTCCTGAGGACATCTATGGTCTGTATTATTGATAAAGCCACTGTATTATTGATGCCGTCACACAGCTGTATCTGTCAAAACATTAAAGTCACACCTTTGTCTAGCTATCGTGTGTATGTGCGTGTGTGTGTGTGTGTGTATTATGTTGGCAGCTGCTGACCCCTGTGACTATATCACTTGTGCGATGGTTGCCTCTCTTCATGTCTCTGTTTTTACATCTACATCGTAATCAAACTCTGGCAGCTTCACAAATGTCCGTGGACCGTGTTGTCTCACTAAAACTGTTTGACCATATGAGCCATTGGACTAATTAACTGACCAATTAACTGTTCCTCACCAGAGAAGGACATGTCTGTTGATCAAAATGGTACTGAAAAACTATCAATAGATTATTGGTTTAATTCAGTCCACAAAATGTGTCCATTTGGGCCCTTTAGAGGCTGTTAGCTTAAAGATAGTGGCTGTCGAATTATAGATCTGTATTAGCAATTAATTTATATATATAATATATACATATTATATATATAATTTCATTTCATTAATTAAACCTGTAGACACAGGTTAATTTTAAGCTAGCAGCACCCATATCTAATAATAACCTTCCTTCAGCAACAATCCCATAATGTGCAGCAGTAATTTTTTTAGATGTCAACAAACAGATGCTAACAAGGTCAGTTTAAACTATGTATATGCTAGCCTGCGGCAAACAGCCTTGTATTAACAACATCGCCACGCTTTTAATCTGTTATTTAGTTTTTTATAATAGTAAAGTGACAGCCAACGGCAGGCAAGCTAACTTCAAGCTAGCCGTACAACTGAAGGACCATTAGCCAATATTATAAACATTAACTTAATTAACAGTAACTCTTTGTGTTTAAAAGTTGTAAATCACTCACTCACATGCTAAACTAAAAGGCTGAACATGCTAACTTTAGGCTAGCAGTACGACTGAGCCTATGTAGCCTTGGTTTTTCTTACATATTGTCAATGTAAAAAATCCCTGGAGCCCACAGAAACAAATTACCATTACTGACAGACATTAATCAATACTTGGTTAATCAATACTACCACTCACTCATTTCTACCAATGTTTCCAGGAATCCATCTTTCCAAGGTCCTCAAAACAGACAAAAACATGTCTTTTAATGAGGCTGCCTCGTCCGGTCCTCATTCAGGTCCCCTGCTGAAAAGTTTTAATGACGCCCAGCAGGGAGGAGAATCAATATAAGGCTACAGCACCCGACATGTTCACAGTCGTAATTCCCACCAGAGACCGAAATGAAAACAAAGCACTGACAGATGCTGTTTGTAAAAAAGATGTCAATATACAAATAAATCCGTTTACTAACAACCATAAGTTAATTAAAGATGAGCCCAAAAATTGCTAAAAGTTAGATAGACATGTATAGCAACAACTGAGATGTCAGGAATAAAAGTATAATATATAAACACTACCCAGAGGTAGCTAAAGGTTAGCCCAATAGAAATATCAATGTAAAAATCAAACATTAAGTCAGAAGTAACTTAAAGTTACATACTTAACACAATACATTAGAAATAAGGATGCCTAAATGCTAAAAACACGTGATCAGTGCAGATAAAATGACAGATAAAAACATAAATAAATACAACATTTTTACTGGTTTTGTGGACAAACATTATTCCAATACAGTTCTCTAACTGTGTCCAAAGGAGGACACAGTCTGGATGTGATTGACGTTGACTGATCTCCTCAGGGCTGTGGTCTAAGCCCCTCATATCTTACTGCCTCTGCATTGATCAAATATTAAAGAGGAGTCTCTGCTGCATCTGAATTTACAAACAACAAGAAGGTCTGGACGGTGAGGCTCTGGACCGTGGTCCCTCTGTGTCCTCCATCTGACCGTCTTTTTGGACCTCCTCTGTGGTAACAGTCCTGCTCCACTCTGTGTGTGTGGGCAGCCCGGCGGGGTGGGGGGAAGCAGGCCCTAATAATTGGTTTTAGTAACACAGCAGCTGTTTCAAGTGTCCACACACCAGGTCTCAGAGGAGACGAAGGAGTAAAGAGAGGCGTGGGGGAGGAGCCGCCGCAGCGGTAGCACACCACGCCCCACGCCACCCACGCC